TTTTATTATATATAATTAATATTTTATCAATTCTTTTTAATATTAATTAATAATCTTTTCAAGAATATTAATATCAAATTTTAATCATTTTATTTTTAAAATAACTAAACTTATTTATAATTCTTGAAAAGCTTTTATATTTTTAAATATTATTTTTTAGTAGCTTTTAGATATCTTTTATAATATTAAAATTAAAATTATAATAGAAATATAGCTATATATAAAAATAAAAAAGCTAAAACTAATATGAAATTCTTTTTATTAAATAACTTAAAATTTGAAACTTGATTAATAATATTGAATTTAAAAAAAGTATTAATAAGTACAAATAAAAAAATTAATTAGTAATAACTAGTTTAATAATCAAATAATCAAAATTAAAAATTTTTTCAAAATAATTTAAGTATTTAGAATTAAGATAGAGAAATTTACTAATTAATTCATAATATTGATTTTCTTTTTCTCAAATCTTTTTATAAATTTAATGCAGTAAAATTAAAGCATTATTTTGTTAAAACATTATTTTTTTCTCCTATTAATATAAATTATATTGTGAATGAGTTTCTAGAATTCAAAAATAAGTATTTGTATTGATTTTTTCTTTATATTCATCAAAAAATATTAATAGTTTTTATGTTTTTTCTGCAAAATATTTCCAAATTATTAATCATATTTGAAAATAAAAGTTAAATACACAATATCAAATTCTTATCTATTTCATCATAATCTTATTGTCATGATTATTTTCAATTTCAACACTTGATTCATTGAAAAACCAATCTTTCTCCAACCAAAGGCAGCTTTTTCTTTTATTTTTCATACAAGTAACACACAATTGTATCATTTTCTGAAATAAATAGCTTTTCAGCAGTTGACAAATTTCTGTTAAGATTTCACAATTTCATATAATGATTCATATCACATCTTGGTGACTTTTCGTTTAAGTGCATTTTTTTTGAAACTTGTGATTTTCTGGACTGTAATTATCAATTTTTTTGGTGTATTGGCACTTGGCAATAAATAATATTGTGCCTAAAATTTGTTCAGAGTTCACATTCTCCGTATTTTTCCCTTACCCATGCCAGTCATCTGGGTATGGGTGGATGTCATAATTATATATTACATGCTCATTTATTTGTGAACCAAATTCCAGGTTATTAAAGATATATTCAGATTATATTACAGGTTATTACAGATTAAATATACAGGTTTTACATACTCCAATTACAAATTACAAGTTATTTCAGGTCCTATCGAGATGATTACTGATAAAATTATTTCACAGGCGTTACTACGTACAAAGTATGCATTATTGTAAGAATTTTTCCAAAAGGGGCATGGCTATGCTTCGAAACAAGTATAATAGTAAAGCTTATTGTAATTATAAGAAAATAAAAGTAAAATTATTATATATAACGCAAAATGTGAATTTTGGTAGGAATTTTGTAGGAATTTCTATGGATCAAGGGAATAACGTACGATATGATACAAGTAATCACATTCTTGGGTACGCAAAGTAAGAATTTTTGTAAGGAATTCGTGTTATTGGGAAGGCATGTTGATGTTGATAAATAAAATAAAAATTTTGTAAGAATTTTGCGAAGCGGCATCAATGTTGATGCTACAAGGTAAGGATATTTTATAAATTTTGTGAAATTTTAGTTTGTTCAAGTGATACCTTTAACGTTTTCCGTAGCACATTGACAAGAATTAAGTCGTTCCAGAATTTTATAATCACGGAACTTTCGTTGCGACGGCAACAATAGAATTCCATTTGCCCTTTTGTCAGTTTGTCCCTAAGTCAACTATTCATAAACAGTCGGATCGATGAACTCTCGTTGTTTGAAATTTTTGTCTTCGTATTTGGTTTGTTTGGAACATTTTGCCATGAATTCAATTTCTTCGGTATTGTGTAATAACAGATAATGTCAAAAATTTTTCTTGAAGATAATATCTATTAGATTTCCTAGAAAAAAACGGCAATAAAATTTGGTACATAATATCTATAATTTATTGTAATATGGAACTGAAACGTTATTGAATTTGCTTTTAAAAATACAACAGTTCGCATACTGTTTAAAACCAAGATTTGTAACCATTTTCTTCATAAAAATTTAAAACTATGATAGAAATACCATACCTATAACACTTATAAAGTCGGATAATAAATATAACATCTTTCTTGTTTTATATGACAAATTCCGGTATAATGCCTTTTCCCTTTTTTTAAGCGAATACAAACATACATACAAGTATATGTTTTGGGTTTATTTGTTTTTTAAGTTCGCAAAAATTTTTCAAGACTGATCACAAAGTATACTATCAAAAATAATGTTAACGCAAAGTAGAAAATTGTCACACAAGTATATTTAAAACATGCCACATAACCAATTAAAGTATGTAAAATTACATGTGTTATGTGATATTGCAACTTGTAGAGTATCTATACCGGTATTGCAACTAATCTTATTATAAATTTACCTTGGCACTAACGGTATCTCCTGCAAATCTGTCTTCGATAACGGTACCAGCTAAAAAAAGAATTATTCGAATGGATTCTTTTTGAAAGATTTACCAACATTGAATGTCTTGCAAAAGGAGAGTTTGGAGTAATTTATAAAATAACCTGTTGAATGGACCATCATAAAAAACAAATTCAAAAATGAAAACCCAGTTACAAATCTTATGCAGAAAATGATGATAATCTCCGTACTTATATATTTTTAACTACCAATTAGAATATATTTTTTCAAAATTGAAAGATTCAATCATTTCTGGAGCTCGATCATGACCGTTTTCTTAGCCTTTTGATACCATTTTAATGCTAAGTCAAGATTTTTCGAAATACCTATTCCAGATAGATAAAATTTTCCAATATTAAATTGAGCTTTATTGTGCCCGGTCTCTGCAGCTTTTAAATACCAATTAAATGCGTTGTTATCATCTTTGATCGTCATTCAAAACATTGTCCAAGTCTAAAATGAAAATGAGAATTACCATTGTTAGACGAGGTTAAAAGATACTTAAATAAGATTTCTTCCATATTTTTTGAAATTAAATTTCTTTCATAACTATATTTTAATAAGAATTGACTTCTCTCATGGCCGGAATTAGCTGACTTTAAAAAAAATTCTAATGCTTTATCATTATATTTTTCTATTCTGTTGTTATTGTATAATAAAGCAAGGTTATATTGTCCATTAACATTTCCACCCTCTGCTGATTTCAAGTACCACTCAAATGCTTTTTTCTCATCTTTTTTGTGTTCCGATTCCAATTAGATAACACCAACCAAGATTATATTGTCTATTAACATTTCCACCCTCTGCTGATTTCAAGTACCACTCAAATGCTTTTTTCTCATCTTTTTGTGTTCCGATTCCATTTAGATAACACCCACAAAGATTATTTTGTCCTGGTGCATTTCCACCTCTGCTGATTTCAAGTACCACTCAAATGCTTTTTTCTCATCTTTTTGTGTTCCGATTCCATTTAGATAACACCTACCAAGATTATTTTGTCCATTACCATTTCCACCCTCTGCTGATTTCAAGTACCAATCAAATTTTTTTTCTCATCTTTTTGTGTTCCGATTCCATTTAGATAACACCCACCAAGATTATATTGTCCATTAACATTTCCACCCTCTGCTGATTTCAAGCACCACTCAAATGCTTTTTTCTCATCTTTTTTGTGTTCCGATTCCATTTAGATAACACCCACCAAGATTATTTTGTCCTGGTGCATTTCCACCCTCTGCTGATTTCAAGTACCACTCAAAGGCTTTTTTCTCATCTTTTTGTGTTGCGATTCCATTTTCGTAACACATACCAAGATGATATTGTCCATTAACATTCCCACCCTCTGCTGATTTCAAGTACCACTCAAATGCTTTTTTCTCATCTTTTTGTGTTCCGATTCCATTTTTATAACACCAACCAAGATTTTATTGTCCATTAACATTTCCGATTCCATCTAGATAACACACACCTAGATTACATTGTCCTCCAGCATTTCCACCTTCAGCTGATTTCAAGTACCACTCAAATGCTTTTTTCTCATCTTTGTGTTCCGATTCTATTTTCATAACACAAACCAAGTTTATTTTGTCCTCTAACATATCCACCCTCTGCTGATTTCAAATACCATTCAAATGCTTTTTGTTTATCTTTGTTTATCCAGTTCACGTCATTGCATAATTCTCCAATTAGATAATTTGCCACAGCATCTCCTTGAACTGCTGATTGTCGGTAATATTGTAAGGCTTTATCGTAATCATTTTCAACATTAATACCATGATGATAAAGAAAGCCTAAAATTTTCCCATAAAGTATATTATTATCCAAACTTTGCAAAAAATTTATTTTATCAGAGGGCATCTGAGATTTTTCTAAAATAACTGTAAAAAATTTTGCAAAATTTGCTTCATAATTTTCATGTTGTTTGAAAATATTATCAAAGAGGATCAATAAATCATCTATTTTAGTTTCATTAAATTTTTTTATATCAATTCGTTTCTGGTTCATAATATGATTTTCAGTTATACTTTGCAGTAATAAATGTAGACGATGATAAATTATTTTCTTCTTGATTCGAAAAAGTTGCTTCAGATGAATCAAGGTTGTTTTCATTTAAACGTGTTACTCCCGATGAATATGTATCATTTGTTGATGGAATAGTTGAAGACGAAGTTGGTGAATGCACACCTAATTTTTTGTTCAATGACTTTGTGTGGTTAATCATTTTTTATGTCAGAAAATACAGTACATGAATAACAATAATTGAGAACTGATGGCATGAAACTATTCTATTTGCTATATGTGCATGTATATGTAACACCACGTCGTAACCACATATACATGTGCCACATGTATTAGCAGTTAATACATGTATTTCCCATGTATAACATTAAGCTTTTTGATAATGTGACAAATTTTTCCGTTCATTCTAACAAAAGAAAACATTAGTTAAAAATATGTCTATTTCAATTATAAATACTTCTATCCTACTAGCGCACGATGTTTAACAACACAATCAGTGCTACAATACTGCCACTGCATACGAGCAAAAGGTACTTTTCCCACCAACGATGTCTTACACATTTCACAAACTGGTTCTTTATTATTGCTTCCAACACTAGAAACAGAAGCAGATGCAGACGCAGCAGCAGCAACACTACTACTACTCCCCCGATTAGCCAATTTAGCCAGCCGCGCTTCAGCAGCACGTGCTCTCTTTTCACGCTCAATTCTCGCCTGCATTTCCGGCGTGAGATTAATGTCCAGTTCAGAAATGGCTTTGTTCAGTGTTTGGCCAATTGCTGTGGTTTTAGGTGGCGGCTGATTGGAAGGCAACGGCTCAACATCTTTTTGCTTGTTTTTTGAGACACCACCACCTTCTTTCATTGCTTTCTTCTTACGTTCTTTTTCTTTCTTTTTCTTTTCTTTGGCTTTACGCTCTTGCTCTTCTTCCATCTCTTTGGTCAATGCACTTGGAACATGTGCAATCTTCCAATCCCATTGATCAAGATTTTCGGCCATATACCGACGAAACGCATTTCTAGTCTCTTTATCGGGAGCAACATCGTATGGTGTCTTCAAAGTTGTTGAGGTTATTGTCGGGTCTGCAGAATGTTTTTCCAAGAAATAAGATACAATTTCAGGTTGCGCAGCTAACGAAGCAACATGAAGCAGTGTGGGCGTGTGTTTAAATTCTTCGGTTTCAAATCTAATGGTGGGCGAAATTGCGCATTTCTCCATATGTCCTACCATCAGATCTAATTTTCCTTTGCGAATCAGCTCGATTAATTTCTTCACCTCCTCGGTTTGTTCCGGTTTTTTTGGTTCTTGTGGAGGTGTTGGCTTCTTGCTTTTTGCTGTTGCTCTTACTAAGGATTCCATTTTCGAGGCGAGTTCTTCGGCCGGGTCATTTGCAGATAGAAACTTCTTTAGAGATTCAGCATCGAGTTCTGATACTTTGACTGTTACCAGTTTGCTGAAGCATCTTTTTAGTTCTTTATATGCCTGAAATGCAATTCAATTAGAAATTAAAATAATCTTTTGCAAAGATATGGATATCTTTCTCACCGGACGTTTTGTGGAAAATGGAAAAGAACGAATCCGTGGATCACCTTCGTTGTAAAGTACTCAAATTATTATGAATTCTCGAATTTAAAAGAAGTTTATTTTTCATCTTGAATTTACCTCGTCTAAGCACAGCTCTTTCGTACCCATAAATAATGTTTTTATTAACGCTAGGAGCCGACACAAAGATCAATTCACTTTTCTCGATCCAGTCTTTCCAATTTTCGAGTAGTTCGCGAATTTCCTGTTCCCAATAAATATTTAGAAATGGAAAATGAAAATATTCATTCGATAATAACGATTATAGTAAAATACCTCTTGAAGTTTTGCTTCATTATAGCGTCTTATATCAGCACCGGCGGATTTAGCGCCACCTTTTGCTTGATCGTGCACAGACTGCGCGCCACCCTGCTTACGTCTTACTATCCATTTTTAAAAATGTATTTAATAATATCAAAATACAAAAAATACGAAAATTCATGAAAAATTTAAGAAATAAAAAATACCAGTATATCGTTGAAACCGCTTGTGTACAATCGGCTCCATTCCAGAATCTTTTCCAGTTTTCTTAGGATTCAAAACGCACACCAAACCTGCAAAATACCCACCACTTAGCATCAACATGGTCCAGGTTCTTTTCGATTCCCCATCACCTTCACCACCATCAATTTGAGCACTTTTTAGGTATTGTATGGGATCACTGTGTCGATGATCCGGAAATATTTGTTTAAATATTCCAAGATGAATTTCTTCACGAAGAACTGGAGGTGCAGAGAACCATAGATATGGAGAATTCTCTTGATGAGTTGTTCTCACGAATTCGTCGTTTTCAATTGATGGTTGATGTTTTTTAAAGAGAGCTTCAACGGCATCGTATGAACTTTGTGAGGATGCGTTTGATTTTGTCGATTCTGTGTCGCTTGAGCTTTTGGTCATTTCTATAAGAAAAATTTTTGATATCGAATTTTGATGATCTAAAGATTAAAAAAAGGAAACCAAAATAAAACCTTCCAACATTTCTTCAAATTCTTCTTCATTAACAGGTTCAACATTCGGATCATATAATTTTCGTTTTGCATTAAATCGATGAAAGTCCGTACGATAATGTTCTCGTTGTTCATCGACCGATTCAAAAACGAGTCCGCCACAAGTCGCACATCCAGCCGTTGAAATTCCTATTAATCCACTTAGCGCCAATTTCGATTCCGTGATTTCCTTACTAATTGTCGTTTCTGATTTGTCAGCATCTTCGACAGTGTTGTACGATACTAACGCACCGAGAATCTCTGGTGGAAGATTAAACACATTCAACGGATGGGAAAGCAATGGGTGAGTTGGTGGTTGCTTTTTAGTGGTTTTTTTTGGAATGTGTGTTGACGTTTCCGTGTCATCAGCCATTTTATTTCTTGATTATCTTATTATTGCGTATTTTATTGATTATCGGATATTGACTTATTAATAACACTTTACGTTGAATTTGTTTTCTTTTCCAAATAAATTAAATGTAACTGTAACAAAAAAAAGTAGAAATCGATTTTTTTGTCCTCCAATCTGTATTTATTGTTACGTATTTCACATGACATGGCGCAATGGCACATCAATCAAATGTTTTAACATTAACGTTAAAAAAGAAATGGTTAACATGTATTAAATTTCGAGATGGATAAAGTTTTTGCCAAGTTTAAAATTAATTTTGGTTTTTCGTTTTGTAACTGGGAGAGTTTAAAAATAATATAAACTACATGTATACTAATACAAAAACATTAACCTGAAATCTCTTAAATGTAATGTACTACATGTATAAATCCGGATGCTCTGTAAATTATTTGTTCATTGTAAATAATATCGATATTTAATAATAATTATATCTATTATTATTAAGTTATAAAATTATTTATTTATGATTATAAATAAAATAAAATTAATATTAAACTTTGTCAAAAATATCTAATTCTATGTGATGATAATAATTATGTACAATCTAAACCTCTAGCTAAATTGAATAAAGAAAAATATGAATTCAAGTGAAAACCCACTTACCAATTCGCCGTAATAATACAATGAGGATATTATACTTTAAGTAGAGAGATAGAGTCTTTTAAAAGGTTTATTAATAAGAATATAAATGCTATTATCTAAAGGCAGGTAATGATAGTGTTCTTGTTGTGACTCGCATTATTTTGTGGTAGCACTTGCTGACGCTTGGGTGAAGCGCGAACCAAATAGGATGATTATTTTAAAGTTTTAAACTACCACCACGTACTGTTTTGTGCTATTTAATTAAGGGATCGACAGCATAGAACATGTATAACGTAAAAGGCAAAAACAAAATTTTAGACCTTATTAATATTTTATGGCATTACCGTACTTTTGCGAAATAAAGCATACCTGCGCGTTATTTCGAGACATAAGGTCGATTTTCTGCTAAAACCAAGATGCGTTCATATAAATTCACCCCTCTATAACGACATTATTAATGATTCCCTATAGACTTATGGTGTCGCTACAGAGGGGATGTTAACGACTTATAGCAAACCACAGTTTAAGCCGGGACCGGTTGACTTTATGATTATCGGACCGTAGGACCGGCGTTGCGCCACGAGAAAGAAATTGCGTTTAAGTTACGGTATGGGTCATGTTTATTTATCTAATGAATGTAAATTTAAATCGATCACAAGGGGAACTATCCTACATGTACATGTATTTTCGTAGAATATTTTTTTATTTAAACATCATTGTGCATATTATCGTTGTTTTTACATTTCGTTGTTTTTAATTTCGTCGTTGCATGTATTATTGAAAATTGTTAACAGCAATCCTTCCGGTTGCTACCTGAAGGCGATTGGAATGATTGAGAAGAGGGAAATTAAAAAGTGAAAAAGTATAGCATTTATAATAAATTTAAATAACTTATCTTTAAATTTATAAATTTTATTTTTATATAATGTAATTATTTTCTTATAAGTTAATATAATGTAATTGATTTTTTAATAAGATTAAAGTACTTTATTAATTTTTAATAAATTAAAAGTAATTATATTATAATAAAGTTAAAAGTTTTGATTTATTCAAATTTTATATATTAAATATTTTATATTTATAATATAATTATAAAGTAATATCTATTTTTACTATATTTAGATAAATTGATAAGTAATTCTGTAATTTATATTAATCTAAAAGAATTTTGATAATATAAAATTGAAAATATTTTATATAATTTATATTATTAATCTCAAAATAATTATAAAATCTCTAAAACATATAAAATTTAAATATAATTTTATTTAATTAAAATTTTTGATTAATTAGAGGGATAGATTTTATATCAAATTTATAAATTTATTTTAAAATAATTTTAAATAAGTTTTAATAATATTATAATTTTAATAAAAGTTATCCAAGCCAATTTATATATATATATATTATAGTGGCAAATGTATTAGAAGCTAAATTTATTAATAAAATATAATGAAAATTGAAAATTTTCTCTCTATATTAAAATTTATAATTTTATTAAGAAATAATTTTTAGTTTTATATCAAAATAAAGTTTATTAGTTGTCATTAATATATATATTAAGAATTTTTTAATTATAAAGTCAGTGCAAAAATTTTTATTAATTAAATTTCATTTTTAATTAGTAAAATTTTTTTATTAATATTACAATTAGAATAACTCTTTCAAAAAAGATCTGAAAAAAATTATGCAAATTAAAACTAATAAACTTTATTTTAAAAATAAAATTTATTTCTTAATAAAATTATAAATTTTAATACAAAAAGAAAATTTTGATTTTCATTATATTTTATTGATAAATTTAGATTCTAATATATTTGTTACTTTTAGTTATCACTATATATATTAAACTAAAAATAAAATTTATAAATTTATACTTATATATATAAATATTATTATTAACTAGATTAAGATTTTGTTAATATTGCTAAAGAATTAACAAAATTTTTTAATTTTAGTAATTGTTTTATTATTTAATTTAAAAAAATTATTAATAATTAATAAAGATTTTAAATTTTAAAAAGAAATTATTAATTTAATTATTAAAATATAATTAGTTAATATTAAAAAATCATGAATATTATTAAGAATTTAAAAAAACTTTATAAAAATTAATTTTTTAAATTTAAAATACTATAAAATTAATATTATTTTAAAATAAATATTATTAAACTTAAATAAAAATATATAATTTTTCTTAATAAATTTAATAATATTATTATATAATTAATTAAAATAATTTTTATTAAAATTAAAAATATATATTAAATTTTTTAAATCTTGTTATAATTTTATAAAATTTTATAAAATTTATTTATTTTTAATAATTTTATAAAATATTTAATTAAAGTTAATAAGCTAAAAAAATAAATATATTATTAATTATAATTAGTTTTTATAAATATATTCTTATAAATATAGTTTATTAATTTAAAATAAAATATCTTATTTATATAAAAAAAATAAATACAAAATTTAAATAAATTAATAATTCTAAATTATATATAATTTTATATAATTAAAAAAATTAAATATCTTATATTATATTATTAAAAAATAATATTATATTTAATTTAATAAATTAATAATAATAAATAAAAGATAAGTAAGAAAATAAAGAAATATTAAATAAATATTAAATAAATAATAATCATCTAAATTAATAATTAGAAAATACATAATAATTATTAAAATTCAATTTAATATATAATAATTATCTATATATTTAGAATGAAATTAATCTTCAAAAAAAGTAATATAATTAATAAATATAATATAAATAATATAAAATAAATATTTAAATTGAAAAAATATAATTTAATTAAATTATTAAATAATATTTCTTATATTAATTATTCAATTTTTTATATATTAATTAAGTTATATAATATTATAAATATAAAGTTTTAAATAAATTATAAAATATAGTAAAATATAATATTTATTAATTATTAATTAGCTTTACAATATAGTTTTTAATAAAAATAATAATATATAATAATTTTATTTATATTTTAATATTAAAGTACTCAAAATTTACAAAACTTTGTAAATGTATTCTTTAAAATTTTATAAATAAATTTTTTTAATAATATAAGATATTATTATTATAGTAATATAATATTTTTTAATTTTATAATCTTTCTTTAATTATATGAAATTTTATTTTTCTATAATTTTATAATTTATTATATAATTATTCTTATTTTTATTTAATTGTATATTTATTTTACTTATTATATTTATTTCTTATTCATATTTTTTATTTAAAAATTATATTTTATTTACTTTTATTTAAGATTTATATTTTTAATTTATCTTATATATATATTTATTAAAGATTTCTTTGTAAAATAATAAAATATCAATATTAGGATATTTATATTTTATAAAATAATAAAATATCAATATTAGAATATTTATATAACAAAATATCAATATTAGAATATCTATATTTTATGAAATAATAAAACTCTAATATTAGTATTATCATAGTGATATAAAATTTCTTAATTCTCTAATCTTTTTTTGATTATACAAAATTATAATTTCTTATAATTTTTATTTATTTTATAAATATTCCTATTTTAATATCATATATTACTATATTTATTATTACATTTCTATTTTTAAACATTATATTTTATTTTATATTTGAGATCTATATTTTTATTACTTGTAATATAATATTCATATACATAATAGAATAGTATAGTAAAAGATTATTTTTAATTTTGGTAGAACAGTTATACTTGAATAATAATCACAAATATTTTTTCTTATTCTTTGATATTCTTTGATATTTCCTTATATTCTTTCATATTTTTTCATATCTTTTAATATTTTTTTATATTTTTCAATATCTTTTTATATCTTTTAATATCCTTTTATATACTTTAATATTCTTCAATATTCTTTAATATTTTTTAATATACTTTAACATAATATATTTTAAATTATTTATATTATAGTATTTTAATTATAATATATATATTAGATAGATTAGTTAATAATACTATAATAATTTATATATTCAAAAAATGTATAAAAGAATTTGCTATTTCAACTTGAAATAAACAGTTTTGAATTGAATTCTTTGAAAAATATAATTAAAAAGCTTATTATTATAATAATAATAATCTTTTTAAGTAATTTCTTTTTGAATTAATTTTTTGACTAATTTTCAATTTCTTTACAAGCTGTTCTTAATTATTTGATTTTTTGTGAACAAGTATATTATTCTTTACTATTGAACATAACTTATTAGAAAATTTAGATAATTTAAATCAAACTTGAAAAATAATTTTTAATAATAGTTATGGAGATATAGTAAGTGCTGAGAGAATAAAGAAAGCTGAGAAAAGGATAAGATTTCTTTT